ATGAAATATACGACGCACGCGCGTGATATAGTTATATATTATTACATATTTGGAAAGCTTATGAAAAGAGCTTTAAGTTAAACAAAAATCGTCAAGATTCGTTGAAAAACAACGGAGTTACAGACTCAAAGTTGACGGCATATTGTTAAACAACTTAGGTTGGTAGCGGCAAAAAAAATACTGTCATAACCGGCAACCCGAGTACTTTCCCAGACAAAAATATATTATTTGTGGAAGTATGTTAAATGCATAAGAAATATTGTTAAAAATCAGTGGAAGGATCGGGGAAGCGTACGACAGCGAGTCCGAAGAAAATGACGATAATATTCATAGTCCTGCTGTTAAAAAAGCGAAATTTGCTTGAAAATAGTATATTTGACAGTCTGTAACTCCGTTGTTTTTAAACGAATCTTGATGATTTTTTTTAACCTACAGCTGTTTTCATGAGTGTTCCGAATATCTTATACTATATAACTATATCACGCGTGTGCGTCGTATATTTCATTTTGCAACTAAGGCTAAAAAATAAAAATACTTTCCAGGTTGCAAATTTGAAATTAAAAAAAAAAAGATAGATTTCAATGCATTATTATGAAATCTACCATGAAAAAAAGTAGTGCGATTGTGGAAGATGCTCGGGATTGCACAGACTAATAATTAGTTAATTTGTTTATAAGGCCATAACTTGTAAACTATTCAACTTACCGATTCCAGATTTCGTGTGAGTTATTAGACAGTGATAAAGAATGAGAGGATGCGATGCCAAAACGTTCTGGTAATAATAACGCACGCAGTTTATAGATGTTTAATTCAAAAGTCATAAATAAACTTCTGTTGTTTATAACTTTTAATCTAATCAATATTTTTTGACGCTCGAGGGCTAGTTTTGTAGGTCTTTTGAAGACGGAAAAAAGTTATAAGCGAAAAACGTGAATTTACGTAAAAATTATACAATTAACTAGCCTGTAAACAATATTCCCCCTAATTTTTATGACTGTGGAAACTAATATGTTATTGTACATAATATTTAGCATCTATAGTGATAAATTCAGCTTGCCGAAACAAAAAGTCGCGTCCAACTCTATATTTCTTGGCCTAANCAACCTGGAATTTTTTTTATTTTTTAATCTTAGTTGCAAAATGAAATATACGACGCACGCGCGTGATATAGTTATATATTATTACATATTTGGAAAGCTTATGAAAAGAGCTTTAAGTTAAACAAAAATCGTCAAAATTCGTTGAAAAACAACGGAGTTACAGTCTGTCAAAGTTGACGGCATATTGTTAAACAAATTAGGTTGGTAGCGGCAAAAAAAATATCCGTCATAAACGGCAACCCGAGTACCTACTTTCCCAGATAAAAATATTTTATTTGTGGAAGTATGTTAAATGCATAAGAAATATTGTCAAAAGTCAGTGGGTTGCTTGATTTCGCGGCGAACCGTGGCGCGGCGGAAGGGTGGGGGAAGCGTACGACAGCGAGTCCGAAGAAAATGACGATAATATTCATAGTCCTGCTGTTAAAAAAGCGAAATTTGCTTGAAAATTATATATTTGACAGTCTGTAATATAGATGTTTAATTCAAAAGTCATAAATAAACTTCTTCTGTTTATAACTTTTGATCTAATCAATATTTTTTGACGTTCGGGCTAGTCTTGTAGGTTTTATGAAGCGAAAAAAAGTACTTTACTGTTTTCTCGTGGAAATAAACGGAAAAAGTTATAAGCGAAAAACGTAAATTTACGTAAAAATTATACAATTAACCAGCCTGTAAACAATCTTCCCCCCAATTTTTATGACTGTGGAAACTAATATGTTATTGTACATAATATTTAGCATCTATAGTGATAAATTCAGCTTGCCGAAACAAAAAGTCGCGTCCAACTCTATATTTCTTGGCCTATAAAGCACCTTTGTTTCGTCATGACATTTTGACTGATCCTGTGTAGGTACTTAACTTTTCTTATGGTAGATTTAAAAAAAAACAAAAACGTTTGTGTCTTATTATTTTTCGATAGCTATCTTACTTCAGGGAATAATTCACTTTTTCCATACACATCAGCGACCCTGTTTGTACCTATCCATTGGGGGTGTATGATCGTAGAATTTTTTTTGTTTGTTTAAGGCAATAGAGTTTATTTACTCGAAATATTGCCTTTTAATGATTTAAACTTTTATAAAATGAAATAGAACCGCGCTGGAGAGAATTCACATTTATTTAATAATCATTTTTAGAGTAACGGAATTGACGGACCTATTTCATCATGTCTGACAAAAGCAATTTTCTGCTGTTATTCGACAGACCCCAAGAACCCTGTTTTATGCCCAAAGGAGACAAGAAGTGCGTCTTTGATGTTCCTCTAGATTACTTGGTATGTTCACTGTTACCTGTTATTATTAAAACAGCTCAGTAATTAATAATAATTACAGCCCGACAAATACAAATCCGTTGGAACTGTAGTGATGTCGCGTTTTGGCCAATCCGAGGGAGAAGACCAGATTCCAAAAATTGCAGTCAAACAGATTTCAATTCCTCCTCTGGACGATGTCATGAAGCTTCGCCGAGATGAGAACTTCTCCCTCTTCATCCCTAAACATCGCCAAATAGCTGCCAGGCTAATAGACATTTTCTTAGGTATTCCAGAATAATTATAATGTACCATTATATCCCGTTTTCGAGGGCATATCGATTATTATTTTAGAGCGGAAGCTTCAGGTGAAAACAGATTTTGGACATGTCTTTCGGATTTTTTCTATGCGCATAAAAAAACGTGGGTTTAATTATTGGCGGCACAATATGTTAAAAAAATTCGAAAAATGTCATATTTTTCTTCCTATTTAATTATGCATCTTTTCAAGAGTTGATTTTAGGCGAAAATGGAAGAGGAAAACAATTTTTGTAATTAAATTTTACAAACTATGACTATTTACAAATCGAATGAATCATGATTATTATTGTAAAAATCGAAAAAATCGCCAAAAATGGGGTTAAAGAACATTACTTTTTAGGGAATTTTTTTGTGATTAAAGTATAATTCAAATATTATTTATTGTTTAAAATATAAGCAAATGAGAACTTAACTCATTACATTACTAATTTTCGACATATTTTCAAAATAATTGTTGTTTAAACAATTTTGGAATATTTAAATAAATTTGTTTTTGATCTTTGATAAACAATATATAAGTTTATGCACTTACCTTTGATACAAGAAAGAAATAAAGTTGATAATTAAAGGAAGTTTAAAGATAAATAATTATGGGACTGTTGAAAGACCAATAATTATTAACGACAGGTATTTGAAAATGCGCTAATTGTTTTTTTTTAATCGCCAGACATCAATTTAAAAAAAAATCATCAAAATGGGACCTCTAGAAAAGCGGTCGGCAACTGGAGGACCGCGGTCCAGACCGCGAAACGTAAAAAACTGGACCGCCAAAAATTTTTTGAAAGTATAATTACTCAAATTACTTAAAAATACCTATATTTTTCTGTAGACAACAATACGTTTGAATACCACCCTTATCATTTTTTAATGGGTAGTAGGTAGTTTAGTAAAAAAACTGACTCAAGACTGCAAATGTAATTTCTTCCATTGATTTTTGAATACAAATATGCCTATCTATTGTATTTCATATTATTTTGTGAATGCAAAAAATTAGTAAGGAATATGAGTTTTTTTCTGAACCTAGTTAAAAATTTTCAAAAGTATCCTGACCACCTAAAATTACTTGTCGACCCCTGCTCTAGAAGCTGAGATATTAAATTTTTTATAATTTACTCTGTTTATAAGTGCAAAAATTCGACCAATGTTTAAAAAAGCGCCACAGCTCTCCTAATTGACGGATTTGAATTTTTCAAAAAGGGTTTGAAAGCCTGAGAGCCCTTCTATATATGAATAAATTTTCAAGTATCTAAGGGCCTTGGTTTTTGCTGTGCAATATTTTGAAAATTTGTAAAATTTTTTTTCAAAATCTGGATTGCGAAATTATTGTACAAAATCTATCGAACTGATTTTGATGAAATTTGGTGTGACGATTCTACATAACATGAAGTTTTCTTGAGTCAAGTATGAAGGTCCTATACCCAATTTAAAGACGCCAAAAAAAGTAATGTTTTTTTAACCCCATTTTTGGCGACTTTTTCGATTTTTTCAATATTAATCATGATTCATTCGATTTGTAACTAGTCATATTTTGTAAAAAAATTAATTACAAATATTTTTTGCCTCTTCCATTTTCGCCTAAAATCAACTCTTGAAAGAACGCATAATTAAATAGGAAGAAAAATAAGACATTTTTTAAATGTTTTTAACATGTATGTTAATGTATGTACCGCCAAAAGTTAAGCCCATGTTTTTTTATGCGCATACAAAATTTTTATTTCTAGTGATATTTGAAAGCCAAAAAGCCGAAAATCTCCGTGGATATACGATTCACCCAAACCAAAACAGATACCGCCCTGTCTATAAGAGTTTTCAAGTTATAGGTTTTGACCATTTATTATTATTTTTTTTTACAGTTTACAATGCATCCCGTTTTCGATTATTATTTTAGATCACTAAATAGGTACCACAGTTTGAACACTTGTCTAGTAAATATAACCTTTAACTTATTCCTCTTAGGCTATTTCAATGGTTTTTAGATTTGCAAAGTTAAAAAAACGCAATGCATGGAATAATTCGTATCTAATTGAACTCTGGTTGTTGTCCTTGTACTAATTGTTTTTAATGTGGTTTCAAACGCAAATTGTCTCGACCATTTTATCAAAAGAAATGAAA